ACCAGATGAGCGTGTGTGAGGGCGAGTGTGCGAGGGCGAGTAGGTGAAAGCGAGTGTGCGGGTGGGTGGGAGGGTGAGTGTGCGTGGAGCCCGCGCCCCCTCGGTTGCCCGCCCCGCGCCTCGCGGACGCCGCCGACCGACCGAGTCGGGCCAGAAAGAGCACGATCCGGAAGAGTGCGAAGAATGAATTACCTTTCGGAGCCGCCGGTCCCGGGGATGGTCCGTCCCATTAGTGGCTCAACAACCTGCAGCCGGGTGCCGCTCCCACCAGCCGGCCAGGGGCCCCGGGCGAAAAGCGGACCGGTCCCAGCGGAGGCAGTCCCGCCGCTGGCGGCAAAGGGCGCTCAGCAACGCGCAGCCAAAGGGAGCCGGAGGGTGGGAACCAGTAAGGAAACACAACAAAAAGTCTTTCCTCGTCTTCTGCTACACAGCCAGACGGAACGGGGCAGGGGGAAGATCCACAGGCCGCCCGTCCTTTACGTTTCCCGGCTTCGCGCACATCAAGGGGCCAAAGCGGTGCCAGGAGAAAGCAAGGTTCAAATGGCTCTCCTCGACCACAGTTGCACAACTTCGGAGTCAGGCTGGGGCTCCGGCAGCCGCCGAGGGACACGAGCGGCAGCTATTAACATGCGGCAGTCACAGCTGAGGTTGCTTCTCCTCTTGCTGCTGCTGCTGCTGCTGCTGCTGCTGCTTGAGAAAAAACGCTGCTGAAGAGACCAAAATTCTGCCACCATCCCCCCAGCTGATCTTTAGATCCGGTCCCCCCCACCCCACCCCACCCCCTTCTCTTTCTTTTTCTTCTTCTTCCTCGTCCTCCCTTTGCCGCTGCCGAGCCGGGGAGATGAAATGGGCAGGCGGGATCTCGAGGGCCACGGGTGGCTGCGGCTTCGCTCGCACAGCCTCCTCTTCCTCCTGCCAAGGTTCTCTCCACACCGACGGTCTCCTCGCGCCCCGGCAACCTGCGCGGAGAGCCCCGGCAAGGGCCCCAAAAACTCCTTCCCCGGAGCCCGGCGGGGGCGCGCGGGCGGAGCGGGCTCGGCTGCGCCGAGGGCTGCGTCCCGGGCACCGCCGACCCCCGAGCCCAGAGGGTGTCTTCTCAGCTCGCCAGGCGGGCCGGGCAGCGGCGGGCATTCGGGTGCTCCATCGCGCGGCCCCGGGCTCCGCGCCGCCGCCGCCTCTGTTCTTTCTCTTCTTGGGCTCCCCGAGAGCGAGCCAGGCTCTGGCGCTCTCCAGACACGCACACTCACACGCGCGCACGCGAGCGAGCTTCTGCCAAAGCAGCCCGTGTAGCCCACGCGCGCGCGCGCACACACACCCGGAGAAAGGACGGAGGCAAAAAGAGAAGAAAGAAAGAAAGGGGAGGGGGCGAGTCACACGGAGCAGCAGCTGCTGCTGCCGGAGCGGAGCCTAGGAGCAGTCCGCGGCAAGCCGGCGGCGGCGGCGGCGGCGCCCACCCGGAACAGCGACAGCATCTGCATCCCGCTCCTGGGAACGGGAGCGAGCGGTGCGAGTGGCCAGGCGGAGGGGCAGCGCGCCGGGGCCGGGCAGCAGCGCGCAGCGGACGCAGCCGGGGCCGAGCGGAGGCCAGACTGAGTCGCGGGCGGGCGGGCTAGCGACCGGAGAGAGCGGCGAAGGCCGGGAGGGGGGCTCCGCCGAGGGAAGGGGGCGGCCGGGAAAACCTGGATCTGGAGTGTGTGCGGACTCCGCGGTGCTGGCTCCACCTAGCAGCTCCGCGAACCGTTGGAGGTGGAAATGGGAGAGCTGCTACAAGAGGCTTCCCTTTCAGGGTTTGTCAAACAAAGGGTACCTCTCCTAGCGGCGGAGAGACATCATTCTCTCTCTCTCTCTCTCTCTCTCT